TCACCTCGATGTCAGCAATGTAGTTTTCAAAGACGGTTGGGACGTAGACCTCGGGGAACTGATCCTTGCTGAAAACGATGAGGAGGCAGGTCTTCCCACAGGCGCCATCCCCTACAATCACCAGTTTCTTCCGGATTGCAGCCATGGCTAGGACTTCCACTCCGCCGCCTCCAGCTGCGCGGCTGCGGCCCGAGGCAGACTCGTGAACTCACCTTTTAAACACATCATTTTGTAATGCTTTCCCACTCTAGCTTTTAAATACCTCATGTGACTTGATTAGGCCAGTAAGAAATTAGCACACACAAAAAGTTGGAAACTTGTGTCTTTGGGCTCTCTTTCCAAGGAGATATATGTTCAAGCTGGCCTAATGGAGAGTAAGACACTTGAAATAATGCCTTGCCATTCTAGGCATCTCAGCTGAAGCAATCTAAGATTAACAAGCAGACTCCCACTCATGCCAAAAAAAAATCTAGACAAATTCTAGATTGTAACCTCTTCAACTGATCAAAAATATTTTCACTATCCCAGCTGAGATTATCAAACCGTGTCTAGATTAACTGAGCTCTATTAATGCTTAGACACCAATAGGCTCTAGTGGTCATGGCAAAAAGCTACAATGTAATTCCAGAGGCACATGGTTTGAGTGCACCAGTTGTTCCATGGGAAAAGGATGGGTAATTTTTTTCTCTTGTAATTAGATTAACTGCCTCTGAAAACCTACTGGAGGGTCAGCTATGGGTCAGTTCCAACTCTATGGTACACAACAACATTAATGTTTAATAGTGCTCTAGAAAATTATAGTGCTAAACCAAAGATTATTTATCTAGGGGTTTAGATCCACCAGTGACAATGAGACAGAAAGATAGGCAGTCTCCTAGTGTTAGGATTTAAAGCCTTGGAAATGCTATGAAGGGTCACAATGAGTCAGAATCAACTCAAAGCTGTCAATTTAAGTACTAATGCTTAAATTAAATAAATAAATACTGTGATTGTTATATAGTATTATTATGGTGATATGAAATTGTTAGCAGAATTATCAATATATTTACCAATATGGACTATATTTCAACATCAAGAAGACTAAGGTCTTCACCACTGGACCAATAGGCAAAATTATGATAGAAGAAAGGATTGAAGTTGTCAATGATTTCATCTTGCTTAGATCAGCAATCAGCACCCTTGGTACCAGCAATCAGTATATGAGCAAACATATTGCATTGGGCAAATCTTCTGTCAGGGATTTTTCCAAAATACCAAAGAGCAATGATGTCAGTCTGAAGACTAAAGTGCACCTGACTTAGACCATAGTGTTTTCCATCAGTTGCTATGCATATGAGAGTTGAACAATGAATAAGGATGACAGAAGAAGAATTAATACCTTTGAGCTATCAAGTTGGAGAGGAGCACTGAATATCCTATGAACTGCCAAAAGAACAAACTGATATGTCTTGGGGAAAGTATAGCCAGAGTGCTCCTTGGAGGCAAAGATGGCAAAGTTTGTTTTCTAATAATTTTGGAATTTTGCTAGAAGATGTTATTTCTTGGAAAGGGCCATCATGCTTGGAAAAAGTGGAAGGTCAGTGAAAGAAAGAATGAGTCGACACAATGACTGCAGCAATGGCCTCAAGTTTGTTGAAGATGATGAAGATAGGACAGGGTTCAAATCTGTTGCTCATATGATTGCTATGAGTAATACTTCACTTATTGACACCTAATAACAACAAGAAGAAGCATTGAATACTAATAATTAAAGACCAGGTGAACTGTAGGATTCCACCAAAGATACCATCTATGAAGAGAGCAAAAGGTGGTTGCAAAGACAGAGGGGAAAGAAAAGAACAAAAGGATGTCAGAAGAGACTGAAATTTTCACTAGAGCATCAAGAAGCTAAAAGGGTAAAGATCCAGACATAAAAGAGATCAACAGAAAATGCCAAGGCATACTCCAAGAAGACAAAGCAAAGTGTTATAATGGAATATACAAAAAGCTGGAGTTAGAGAATGAAAAGGGAAGAATTCACTTGATGTTTCTCAACCTGAAAGAACTGAAAAACAAATTCAAACCTTGAATTATAATATTGAGAGATGCTATGGGCAAAATCTTGAATTATCTAGGAAACATGCAAGGAACACCCAGAGACACTATACCAAAAAGAATTTGTTGACTCAAATATTTCAGAAGTGTCATGTAATCAAGAGCCAATGGTAATGAAAAAAGAAATTCAAGTTGCACTGAAAGCATTGACAAAAAAATAAGGCTTCAGGAATTGATGGGAAACCAATTGATACATTTCAACAAACAGATGCCACTTTGGATATCCTCACCCGTCTGTGCCAGGAAATTTGTAAGCCAGCTAGCTACCTGGCCAACTGACTAGAAGAGATCCATATTTGTTCCCATTACCAAGAAAGGTGATTCCAACGGAATGTGGATATTACGAAGCAATATGACTTCTATCACATGTAAACAAAGTACTACAAAAACACACAAAAAAATCATCCAAAAAAATGGTTACAACATCACATTGACAGAGAACTGCCAGAAGTTCAAGCTGCATTTAGAAGAGGCTAAGACACCAGGACATTGCTGATGTCAGATGTCAGATGGATCCCAGAAGACAGCAGAGAATACCAAAAGATTGTTAATCTGTATTTCATTAACAATGAAAAGGCATTTGATTGTGTGGGTCATAGCAATCTAGAGCTAACACTGAGAAGAATGGGAATCACAGAACACTTAAATGTGTTCATACAAAATCTACATCTAGATCAAGAAGCTATTATATTAAAAAAAGCAGGGGAATATTTCCAGTGTCATACCCTTTCTTCGTAACTATTCAATCTGTAGACTGGACATATCATTCAAGAAGCTGGATTCTATGAAAAAAGAAAGAAGCATAAGAATCAGAGGAAGACTCATCAACAACCAGCATTATGTAAATGACACACCTTGCTTGCTGAAAGAGTACTTGAAACACTTGCTGTAGAAGATCAAATATTGATGTTGGATTATGTTACAACATCAAGAAGAAAAAAATCCTCACAACTGGGCAATATATTATAATAGGTAACATTATGATGGATGGAGAAAAGATTAAAATTCTCAGCAATTTCATCTTGCTTGGATCCACAGTCAACACCCATGGTACCAGCAGTCAAGATATTGATAGACATCATGAAAGTCTGCTGTCAGGAATCCCTCTACAGTACCGAAGAGCAATGATGTCAGTCTGGAGACTAAGATATGCCTGATACAGGTCATGGTCTTTGCAATTACTTGCTATGCATTAGAGAGATGGACAGTAAATAAGGATGATAGAAGAAGGATCAATGTTTTTGAGTTGTGGAACTGGAGAAGAGTGTTGAACATATCATGGACTGCCAGGAAAACAAACAGTTCTGTCCTGGAGAGGGTGAAACCCAGCTGCTCCTTGGAGGAAAATATTCTAAAGATTCTTCTCACATACTTTGGACATGTGGCCAGTCCTTAGAGAAGGGCATCATGCTTGAAAAGGTAGAGAGACAGTACAGGAAAGGAAGACCCAGGATGAAATGGATTGACTCAGTAAATGGAGAAATGGAGTTAGGTCTGTTGAAGAAAACAAGATTGGCTCAAGATAGGGCAGGGTTCAGAGCTCAGAGGTACATAAAAACAAACAACATCTTGGAGAAAGAGAAGTCAGAGTGTTCTTGGAGGCCAGGATGGCAAAGCTTCATCTCACATGGTTTGACCATGTTAGATGGAACTATCATTTGGAAAAGGACATCATACTTGGAAAGGTCAGTGAAAGAGAGGAAGGCACTTAATGAGATGAATTGACAATGACTGCAACAATAGCCTCAAGTGTGTCAAAGATGGTGAAGTTGGCACAGGATAGGGTTCAGATCTGTTGTTCATAGGGTCACTATGAGTCATACTCAGCACATTAGCACCTAACAACAACAAAACAGCAAACAGCCAAGGGAAAATTTATGAGTTTATATGGTCCTGTCTTCCACCTTCATACTCTGGTGTTCCTAAATCCACTCACTCCCTGGTGTTTGCTTTCTAAATATTCCATATCTGATCCCTCCTCTCCACTGCTTGAAATTTTGCAGTCATTCTTACCACATCATAACTATACTCCATACCTCCAGTCTTTCTTCCTCCCATCCTCCTCTCACTTGCCAGAGTGAACGTTCCCTATACCGTTATCTTTACATTTTCCTCAGTTCTGCATCCAAACCTTGTAACAGCATACAAAGCCTTCTCTGTTCAGGCATCTGACTTCCCACTCTCTCAAATCCCCTCAACCTTCACCACCTGTGCACGTCAAGGCCCACACTCTCTACACCCAACGGCTATTCAATTAATTAATGTTACTCATACCTTGTTCTGTGTACTTTAAAAAGAAAAAAGTCTGTGTACTTTCCATGCTTTCAAAAGGCCAGTGCCTCAAGCTTGAAGGCTATTTAGAATCCTATCTGATGAACTCATGTAACAATTTTAAGATCTACTTTCTAGGTAACTTTTCCAGATCACTGCAGACGGCATTAACCAACTCTTTCTCTGTACAACTTATTCCAGGAGCATCTTTCACCTACTATTGACTTCTGTTACCATCCTGTCCCACATTCACTCAAAAGATCCTCTTAGGTGCCCAGAATATGTCAAGCATGCTACCAACTAGAGAAGTTTATGTTGTTGTCTGCTTGTAATTCTCATCCATTAGACACATACTTACAGACTTCTGGGTGTCTAGAGAATTGTTCTGCCAGCTCAAAGAGGTAAACTATCTAGTGGTTCAAATTCACCAACTCTCAAATTCAGCATCTCTGCAGAAGTAAGAAGGGCAAATCCCTCCCATGTGATATAAAGCCTCCAAAAACCTGCTGGAGGGTGAGCTAGAAGTCTGTTCCATTCAACAGAAATGAGAGAAGAGAGAGATACACACAGCTAGATCCCTACTACTTCAAGTTTTTGCTCACACATGCATTCTTATTGAGGTCTACCTGAGACCCCATTCCCGTCCCTATCTTCACATTCTGAGCCTCTTCCCTTTTCTATTTGACTTTTAATCTCAAAATTTATCAGATTCAGATATAATCTATAACCAGTTTATTGTGATTTTTCTATGTCTGCATTTAGAATGTGACCTCCAAAGGACAGAGATTCCTGTTTCACTGATATATTCTTAGTGCCAAGAACAGGGCCCACTGCATAATAGGAGCTATTAATAGTTTACTATTAATAATGAATAGATACATTAATAAGTATCATAAAATGAGAGATTGAATTAAATCACCCCAGAGTTTGCAGCTAGCTACAATCTTTCAGGACTTAAAATGTGTAGACCAAATCACCAACCTGCCACTTTCAACTCCAAAGTGGCTTCACCATAGTAGCCTCCTTTTTTGAAGAAGCAGGTATATAGTCCATCATCAGAAACCTGGACTTTGTCAATGCGTATGGCAGCCTCTCCAGATGTGAGCAAGTCCTTCACCAGTGAGGTCCGCCCTGCATACTGAGGCATCTGCTCCTCCTTCTGCTCCTGCTGGTTTCTATACACAAACACCACATCCGAGATCTGGGAACGAAACCATCGAAGCTCCATGTTCTCTGCATTCATGGCTGGATACAGGGAGCAGGGCAGCATGATGTTCCCACCAAGCTCTGCCACAATGGACTGTGAGGGGCCTTTCACCAGGAACTCCTCTGTAGACAGAGAAAATAAGAAATGAGAAGTGGCAAGACACCAGACAAAGGGATGTGGACACACAGAATCAAATAAATAAGGTAAATGCTGGTAGATGACCCTCAGTGCCTGAAGGCCTGAGCATGAGGACTCAGAGTTCTTGTGAGATCTTCTGATGACAGCTTCACAGCTCCCAAATGATGTCAGAGGGACTCTTCCATGTGCTGTAGGCCCTTTTGAGAAAGCCCAATTCAGTGACTCACAAGTTTACTGCACTAGAATGTAAAATACATATTGCTGTGATCTGTCCCTCAAATCCTGTAATCCAGTAAATCTGTAGCAGGCCCAAGAACCTTCCTTTTTTTCTATTGGTTTGTATACATTGTGTTTCACACTAGTCATCATTCATTATGTTTCATACAATAGTTCTCACACGTTATTGTTGTTATGTGCCATCAAGTCGCTTGCAACTCATAGTAACCCTATGTACCAAGAGCCCTGAACCCCTGCTCCATTCTATGCTAACCTTATTATCTCTAATACACCTACCCTCATTAACCCAGTCACTGAATCAATTCATCTCATCAACGATCTTCCTCTCCTGTGTTGTCCCTTCACACTCCCAAGCATGATGTCCCTCTTCAAGGACCAGTCCCTCTTAGAAATATGCCCAAAATATGTCAGATGAAGCCTCAGAATCCTTGCCTCCAAGCAGTAGCCTGTTTTCACCATCTCTAGGATGAACCTGTGTGGTCTCCTGGTAATCCATGGTATATTCAATACTCTTCTCCAGCACCACAGCTCAATGGCATCAATTCTCCTTCTATCATCCCTAGTCATTGTCCAGCTTTCTGTTGCATAGCAAGTAATTGCAGACTATGGCCTCGATCAGGCATATGTTAATCTCCAAACTGACATCATTGCTCTCCAGTATTTTGGAGAGATCCCTGATAGCAGACTTTCCAAGGGTGATTCAACTTTTGATTTTCTGGCTGCTGGCACGAAGAGTGTTGATTGTGGAACCACGCAAACTAAAGCTATTAACAATCTCAATCTCTTCACCATCTATCATGATGCTGCCAAACGACTCAGTGGTGAAAACATTTGTTTTCTTGATGTTGAGCTTCAATCCATATTGAAGGCTGTAGTACTTGACATTCTCCAGCAAATGCTTCAGGTCCTCCTCAGTTTCAGCAGACTTGTGTCATCTGCATAATTCAGGTTTTTGATGAGTCTTCCTCCAATCCTGATAGGACATTCCTCCTCATAGAGCCCAGCCTCCCAGATGATCTCTTCTGCATATACATTGAAAAGGTATGGAGATAGAACACATCCCTCGCATACACCTTTCCCAATTTTGAACCACACAGTGTTTCCTTGCTCTGTTCCAATGACTACGCCCTGGTCCAAGTGTAGGTTTTACATAAGAACAATCAAATGTTCTGGGATTCTCATTCTTCTCAGAGTCAGCCACAGTTTGTTGTGATCCACACAGTCAAATACATTGGCATGAAACCCTGATATACATTCCTCTGGTACTTTCTAATATCTACCAAGCTCAATCTGACATTAGCTATAATATATCTAGTACCATGACCTCTTCTAAACCTAGCCTGCATATCTGGCAGTTCTCTTTTGATGTGTTGTTCTAGCCATTTTTTAATAATTTTCAGCAGAATCTTGCTTGCATGAGATATTAATGATATTGTTTGACAATTTCTTCACTCTGCCAGGTCACCTTTCTTTGGAAAGGAAACAAATATAGATTTCTTCCAGTCACTTGGCCAAATCTTGTCCTCCAGATTTATAAGCTAACTTGATGAGAACATCCAGAGCAGCATGTTTGTTGAAATATGCCAATTAGTATACTATCAATTCCTGGGGCCTTGTTTTTGCCAGTTCTTTTAGAGCAGCTTAAATGTCTTTCTTCATCACCACACGCTCTTACTCATACATTGTTTCATGAACTTCTGTGTTAGCCAATTCCTTTTGGTACAGTGACTCTGTATATTTCTTCCATCTTCTTTTAATACTACCTTTATAGTTTCATATTCTTCCCAGAACATCCTTAAGTATTACAACTCTCAGGATTGAATTTGTTTTTCAGTTCCTTCAGCTTAAGAAATACTGAGCGAGTTTGTTTCATAAAATTAATCACCATTGGACCTTGTCCATCTCTACCTTGGCTATTCACCGGATCCTTCCCATTTACTTCCCCCCCCTTCCACCCTCCAAATTGTACAACCCTGTGATTACACCCCTACCAAGCCTCACCACTTTTCTCCCCCTCCTCTCCCCCCGCTGAGTTCCATATATGTTTTACTAGTTATCCACTTATTTTTACAATAATGGTCTTATGCAGTATTTATCTTCATGAGACTCAGAGCAGCATTATTCATCATCCCAAGAACATAGATGCAGACCAAATGCCCAACCACAACTGAACGGATTGAGAAAGTGGGTACATTCCCATAATGGAATACTATACAGCACTCAGGAAAAACAATTTTGAAAAATCCTACGTAACTTGGGAGATACTGGAGAGCATTATACTGAGTGAACATTGCTTTTTGTTTAGCTGCTATTGAAAACAGATGCATGATTATTCAACAGGCCCAAGTTCAACACAGCATTACTATAATCCAAAATTAAAATACCCAGTGCTATGGAATGTTTCTAACTCACCTTGAGGCTATGGAGCAGAGTAAACTTTCAAAGACTTTTCCAAAGCTGTAATTTTTATGGAAGCAGATGGGTCTTATTTTTCCAATGTGTTCAATGCAGCTTTATCAGCTTCCTTCATTACCATTGGTTATTGATCATAAAATGGTTCTTTCTTTCTAAATTGATTTAGTGTCAATAATTTTTTTGATGTGGTAACTCTATATACCTTTAATCTCCTTTTGAGATTTCTACATCATTCAAGATTTTGCCTATAGAATCCTTCAACACTGCAAATCAAGTCTTGAATTTTTCTTCAATACTTTCACCTTGAGAAAAGAGTCTCAAATGACATCCATTTTGGTCTTTTTCTTTCTCACATGTCTTTGTAATAACCCTTTATTTTCTTCATGTATAATTTCACCTCACAATTCATTTGCTCTTGAGTTAGTATTCAGTTCTTAGTATTCAGTCCTTCAAATCTATCGTTAAAATTATTTTTAAGTTCAAGTAGGATAGATTTAAGATCATAATTTAGTTCTGGTGGACATATTTAATTTTCTTTCATTTCCCTTTAAACTAGTACTATCGTTAAAATTATTTTTAAGTTCAAGTAGGATAGATTTAAGATCATAATTTAGTTCTGGTGGACATATTTCATTTTCTTTCATTTCCCTTTAAACTAGTACGTAATTAAAAGTCTGTTACACAGTTTCTGTCCTTATCTCAACTCTTTTCAGAGATATCATCAGTTAGATTCTGTTGAAGTTTACCAAGTGAGGTCTATAGTAACTATGTTTTTTAAAAAGTATATTTGCAGGGAAGCTCTGGTGGCCTAGTGGCAAGAAGCTGCACTGCAATCCCAGAGGCACACGGTTCAAATCCACCAGATGCTCTGCCGGGGAAGGAGGGACAATCTCCTCCTGTACCAGTCAGATCTGATTTGACGGTACACGCACACACACAAATAATAAAAATTTTTTTAAAAAAGTATATTTGCAATGAAAAATCACTGATTATTAAAAGTGCTATCATTTTATTTCTGGCCTCATTTCCATCACTAAGTCTGGATTTTCCAACTAATAGTCCTTCTTTGTTTCCAACTTTTGCATTCTACTTACTATTATTAAAGCATTTTGGTTACATGTTTCACCAATTTAAAAGTGTAAAGCTTGGTAGAAGTCTTCAGTTCCTTCATGTTTGGCCTTAGTGGTTGGTGTGTATATTTGAATAATAGTTTTATTATTCAAGGTCTTTCTTGTTTGTGTATGGAGAGTATCCTCCCAGAACTGTACTTCAGAACAGATCCTGAAATGTTCTTTTTGGCTATGAATGAAACACCCTGCCTCTTCAATTTGTCATTCTTGGTATAATAGATCATATGAATATTTGATTCATATTGGCAAATACTAATTGAACTTAACTCACCATTACCTAAGATGCTGATCCTTATGAGTTCCATTTAACTTTTTACATCTTCAATTTTCCTAGAGTCGTACTTTATACATTCCAGTTTCCAGTTATTAACAGATGTTTACAGTTGTTTCTCTTCATTTTTCCAGTGCCTTCCAAGCTGAGGGGCTCTACTTCCAATATTATATGGGTATATCTCTACAGGTGGTTAAAAAAGAATCCTTCTATCATAAGCTCTAGTGGCCTAGTAGCAAGAAGCTGTGCTGCAATCCCAAAGGCATACAGTTCAAGGCCACCAGACATTGAAAAGATTGAAATTAAAATAGTCCCTATAGTTCTCAGCTGAATTAAACTCAGGTTTCTATAGTTCTCAGCTAAGTTAAACTCAGGAATTT